GAATCTATATCAACTAATGGGCAAAATAGCCAGATAGCATTAAATGACAATGTTATACTCACAAATATCAATATTAATCCTAAATTTAAATGGATTAAATGCCCTAATCAAAGACACAGACAGGCAAATTGAATAAAAAGTCAAAACCCATCAGTACACTATATCCAGATCCATCTCATAAGCAAGGACACACAAAGACTCAAACTAAAGTATTGGAGGGAGACTCACCAATCAAATGGAAAGCAAAAAAATAAAAAAGAGGAGTTGTAACTTTCATCTCTAACAAAATAGACTTTAATAGTAACAAAGACTAAAAGAAACAAGGACATTACATAATGGTAAAAGGATCAATGCAACAACAGGAGTCAATGATCATAAATATATATGCACCCAATATAGGAACACCCAGATACATAATACAAGTTCTTAATGACTTATGAAGAGACTTGGACTCCTGCAGAATAATAGCAGGAGACTTTGATGCCACATTGTTAATATTCGACGTATCAATGAGATAGAAAATTAACAGGGACATCTATGATTAGAACTCAGACCTGGAACAAGTAAACTCAGTGAATATTTATAGAATATTTACCCCAGGTCCACAGAACATACATTTTTCTCAGTATCACATTATACCTATTTTGAAAGTGACCACATAATTGGAAGTAAATCACTCTTCAGCATTTGCATAGCATTTCATAGACTTAAATGAAATGTTGGTTGGCTGTTTGTTATTTTCTTCCCTTATTCCTTCCTGTCTCTGCTGTTAAGCAAAATTATCAACATAAAAGAGGTTTTTGATACCTATTTTTAGATTGCATTCCAGCCTAGGCAATAGAGCAAGACTCCTGTTCTCTCTCCCCCTTTCTATTTCTTTCTTTCATTAAAAAAAATTACGCTTTATAAATACAAATAATTTGTAGTCATATAAAATGTAGTAAAATAATTCTCTCACATGCACTAGCAAAGCAGAAATGTTTAAAACAATTATCATTTATTGAGCACCTACTCTATGCCAGGTGACGTATTAAGCAGTGGAGATTTTGTACTGAACATGAGCAGTTCTTCCATCACAGGGCTGATGGCTTATTTTTGGCAAATATGTTATATTTCATAGTCAGTGATGGGCCATGATGAAAAAGAAGGTTTAACGAATAGAGTGCTAAAGTAGATAACAACTTGAGAAACAATCTGTGTTTTTAAAGAGGATACAGTATTTTGATACTTTATTTCTACATATTTCATTTTCAATCATTCTGATTTCCTTATTTTATGGAAATCAGTAGTAGAACTCTTATGATGATGAACTTTATTTCAAACACATATTGGCAGATACGCATTATGGAACTGAATATTAGAGTTTAGTATTTTTGTCTTTATTACACTAATTTTATTCATACTTAGCCTCCCTGAGATCCTTTTAATTGTTTGGCAAGAAATTGTATTGGTCCTGATAAATAATAGTTGATCATGAATTATGTTATGATAAACATAAATGTACACAATGCACACCAATGTAACAAGCAGTAATATTTTTGCATATATTCCTAATGTGCTTCATTAATTGTCTCCAGTTAGTATTTTTAAGCATTGGGTTGCTCTGAATATTTAAACCACATTCTACATAGAAATGGTCTACTGCTGATATAAAGTGAGGTGGGCAATACATACTAAGCATCAGTCTTTTATTGAATTGTTAACCAAAGCCAGCTGGTTAGAATCTCAGAATTCTGTACCTTAGTTAAAATACTTTATATGTGACTTGAACTGGTTTGGGTATTTGTCAATATAGATACTACTTGGCTTTTTTTTTGTTCTGTTTTCTCTTTTCATTTCTTGCCTTCTGCCTCCCTCCCTTCCTTCTTGCCTGCCTTCCTTCCTTCCTTCCTTCCTTCCTTCCTTCCTTCCTTCCTTCCTTCCTTCCTTCCTTCCTCCCTCCCTCCCTCCCTCCCTTCCTTCCTTCCTTTCTCTCTTTTCTCTCTCATTATCTTCTTTTCTTCTCTATAGATTACAGTACTTGCCAATGGCTGATTTCTGTTAGCTTTTTCTCACAACCTCACTACAGAAGAACCTGACCAAATTTTGCTTCACATGGCAATTTTTATTAGACAAACAGGCAAAGTAACCATGCAAGTATTCAGTAAGGTTAAATTATCTCTAGGGCTATGATATTCAGTTTGGGGCACCCATTTTGCATAAGAAGTTCTTTTGAGATATTTCTAGAGAGAGGACTTAGTCAACCCTACAGCATTCAAAGCTCTTCACTTTCTGACTGAATATGTGAACTCCTTAAGAGTTTGCCTCAGCCACCATACTGACAAGTGAAAAGTGAAGGGCTTAATCCATTTTAATTTTCTGTTCATGCAAGACTTTCCTAAAATATGCTATGCTTCCTAACATAGGCCAAAATATGCTGTACTCTCTAGTATCTCCAGTAAACAATGCATACAAATATAGAATATTGGGGCTGGGTGAAGTAACTCATGCCTGTAATCCCAGCACTTCGGGAGGCCAAGGCAGTCGCATCCTCTGAAGTCAGGAGTTCGTGACCAGCCTGGCCAACATAGTGAAACATCATCTCTACTGAAAATACAAAAAGAAAAAATTAGTCAGACGTGGTGGTGGGCACCTGTAGTCCAGCTACTCAGGAGGCTGATGCTGGACAATCACTTGAACCCAGGAGAAAGAGGTTTCAGTGAGCTGGGATTGTGCTATTGCACTCCAGCCTGGGCAATAAGAGCAAAACTCCATCAGAAAAAAAAAAGGACTATCTAAACATATTATCAAATACTAGGATTTCCATATCAACTTTAGTATTTTCTACATTAAATATATGCTAGAAATTCATTCTCTATTAGAAAAATCATATTAGACAATACATAAATGATATGACCAAAAATTAGACATCTAAAAACTACTTATTAGTCAGGATCTAGCAAGAAAATGGAAAATACTTGGATATCAGGACTAGAATAGAGAGAATCAGTTAGCCATGTGATAGAATTGCTGAAGGATCTACAGAAGATAGTGCAGCAACAGCAGGACACCATTCCTGGGCTGGGGAGATGAGAAAGCATTTCTGGAACCTGGACATGGAGACCACCTCTGGCCTTTTAAATGGAAGCTGGAACCATGGAGGAGATATAACCCTGGTGGAATAGCTACCTGAGGAGAACAGTCAAGGGAGAAATACTCTTTAATATCTAATTTCAAATCTGACTATTGCCCTGTCACTTTTAGCACTAGTGCTGTGAACACAGGTTCCTGTCCTTTCTGATTGGTAAAGTATTGTGTACAATGTCTATCACCACCCACCTTGTAACACTAATCAAACAGACTTGATCTTCCTTTGAAAAATGTAAAATCTCCTTTAAAAGTTTTCATATTTCTACTGCATTTTCTCTTAAAATTTAACTCACATTGGTTAAGAATCCAGAGTGATTCATCTCTCTCTTAATTAAAAATGAAGTATTTCAGTTGATAAAAATATGCAATTTTCTAAATTATAATTTGTATTTTTAAACCAGGGTGTTCAAGAGCAACACTTGGCACTTATGAAATGCTTAACTCTGTGCTGAAAAGAACTTGAAATAACACTTAAATATAGAAGAGACACATTTTCAAGGCTCTCAAGTCACTTTATTAACATTGACATCATGTACTTGTCATCACATAGATGTAAATGGAAATACACAAACAAGCTAAGAGTCTGAGACTCAGCTTTAAAGGATTGGTCTTCCAATAAAAAGATATAATTTTGGCTTAAAACGTCAGATATTTAGAAAATAAATGGAAAAGAGAAGAAAATTGTTGATTGTTTCTATTATTAATCTCTAGATTTAAGATAATCCTGACAAGTATATATTACTAAACTTTGCTTCAATTAGTCATAGAAATGATTTTAAATATAAAAGGAAAAAAATTTATAACTGAGGACGCAATCATAATCCTTAGCCACGACAAAAGTTTCACATGCTGATTTATATAAATTGAGACAAATTCACATTCATAATACTGGAGTCTTAAAACACTTCTAAAAACACCACAATTTGATTTACTAGAAGTTTTGTATTAATGAAATCTTGTACCTTAGTGATATTTTTATTGCCAAGCAACTCACTAGGTTTTGAACAGTAAATAGGTCAGTTTAGAAAAATGCTATGGAGATTTTTCCTCTCATGATTGATCACTGTATAATACATTTATTTTGTGTTTGAAGACAGGAAGATGTGTTATTTTTAATTCTAAACACAGTAGAAATGCTACTGTGTCCTTATCATTTGTGGCTCCGTTGATCTTACCATTATTGGTTATAATTACTTTTAAATGCTTGAGCTTGAGAGTTTTTATGTTAGAGATGCAATAAATCTGGTTCAACCTTTCTGTAGATGTTACCCCTTGGATTCTTCAGTGCATGTAAAGGTTAGCTCTAGTAAAACTGGGTTTATTGTCTGTCTACACCTCTGCTGTATTATTCAGTGAGTCCCAATTTATGAGACGTTTAAGATACATAATGAATCCAGATTCAAATAAAGCAGGAAAAAAGTGAAGAATATGTAAACTTTATTATGGAAGCAGTCAGGAAAGTAAGAATTGAAACTCTGGGTGGTCTCTTAGAACACATCAAGTATTTTCAATACAGAGGACCACACAGAGGATGAGAAAATCTAAAGGATTTTATTATATTGTTAACAATTTTTTTCAACAAAATGTTTCCAATTGTTAAAATTTTATTACCGTGTGTGTGTGCGTGTGTGTGTGTGTGTGTGTGTGTGTCTTAGAACTTCTGTGTTGGGAAGTCCCTGGGATTCTTATCAGCAGAAACAAATAAAATACAAAGGGAAAAAAAAGTTTAAACTTCTTGGAAAATTTGAAGTTAGGGAGGATAATTGCATCTGTAACAAATATTCTCCTAGCTTTCTATTTTCATTAGATACTCAAGTTTAAACAAATGCTTATTTTCTTCTTTTGATCTCCCTTTTCTTCACCCTCTACAGGAAGACACTACTGTCGGGGACCGTATCCTTTACAGTATGTGTTCCACCTACTGCTTCTGTGGATTCTCTCCAAAACCAGTTCACAGCCACTTGAAAGGTAATTTAATAAAGCCCATCTTGCCAATAATGTTCAGATTTTCTTCAACACAATTTAATAATCATCCAGAAATTTGCGTTCAATGCTCTCTATAATATTGTCTCATGTACTTGACCACATGCTCTTCCACCATTTCCTCACCATCTTGTTGTGGCTTTTGTAGTTCAGTGAGTGGAAGGAAATGGAGCTCAGCAGCTTTTTCCTGTGACCTTTGCCAGAGCTTTGTTTGGGGCTGCCAGGCTCCCTCCTCACTCAGCCCAGCAGGCTGCACTTAACTCACACTACTGGTCTGAATCCCATGCCTGCCATGGCTCCATGTTAAGCCCGTGGCTGGACTGGGTATGCCACAAGTGACTCCCATGTTGGGCGCCAGCAACCAGACAAAAGGGACATGGTGTTGCCCAAAAACTTGAAGATGCCAGAAACCACGAAGCCTGAAGGGATGTTACAGCTTTTGCTAGGGGAGACCCAAGGTGTGAAGCCCCAGGAAATGTTACAGCTCTCTCTTGTTCCTGCCACTGACATCTCAACAGATTGTGGCATGTTATAGCTCACTTGTTCCTGCCACCCACAGCTTAGTGAGTTCCATGTTCTTGTCCTGCAACCCAGAGGAATAAGGTATGCGGATACTGGAGCTTGAATAGGGTGGGGAAGAATTTTATTGAGCAACAGAAGGAAACCTTTCAGCAGAGAGGGGACCTGAGAGTGGGTAGCCCTCTGTGTGGCTGAGGCTGGTGTTCTTATGGACTCAGAATGGGGGAGGGCATGCTGATTGGTCCATGGATGGGCTTTGGAAAAAGCACCATTCAGTTAGTTAAAAGGCATCATCCAGAAGGAACCAATCAAGAGAGAGAAGGTAAGATTGGGAAAGTTCTCACTCTGATCATGAGCTCTCTCCAGATCTAGCAGGTTGGTTTTCAGGCTTTACCATTCTTTGTCTTGAAGGTCAGGTTTCACTGAGGACCAGTCCCTGTCTGCCTAGGAATTTGTCTGTCTCCTGTCACTATCAATCTCAGGTACACTATCACTGCTCTCCATTCCCACAGGGTAATTTCTTTGATGAAAACAGTGTGGCTTCACATCAGGTTTATACAATGACACACAGTTTTACAGCTTAAAATGTGATTTTTCACATCACATATTTAATTCTCACAGTAAGTCTCCATACAATAATAATATGGCTGTAATTATTTTCCATTTTGAATACAAGAAATCTTGCACTCAATAAGACTAAGCAGTATGCCAAAAGTTTACCTATTAATAGAAAAATACATATTTGATTTTTTTCAGGGACCTGAAAGCTTTTTAATCCAATAAGATACAAAAATATTCAAGTGAAAGCATACAACAAATCCCTTCAACTTACTAGAAGGACTCAAAGATTATGATCTTCTTTTAATTAACACCTCATCCCAAATATTTAAAGTAAGTACTTATATTTTATAGGCCCCTAAATAAGTGACGATAAAATGAAAGAAACAATAACAAAGATTTCGTAAGTAGAATTGTTCATTCTAGTTCACTCTAACCTAAAAACAAGCAAGTAAAAAGATAAATGGTTTGTTTATATATTAACTCATTATATATTATGTTGTAGTCTATTTCTGTTCCTTTCACTTAAGCTACAGGAGTCAGAAAACTGTGATGGAGGATTTTTTTTTCTTCTTTTCTTTTTCTTTCTGACCACCTGTTTTGGTCCTCATTGCATTGTATGACACACATATTTTTCGTTAGCTATTACCCTGTGATCAGAAAGGTTGCTAATGAAATATGCCAGAAGCAGCCTAAGGCCTGTTTCTCATCTGAAATGTGCTGGATTGCAGACTCTTATTTATCCTGATGAATTGACAGCAGAACTCCAGAGAGGTAGTTCAGTTTTCTGCCCTAGACAGATACTGTGAATATTAACCCCTCAAAATTGTTTTCCTGAAGGATGGCACATATCATGGCTATACAAGATAAACACACTCACCCTCCCCTCTCTTTTTTAGGCTTTTAATTTTGTTGTTGTTGTTGCTTTTTTCAATGAAAGAAAAATATTTTAAATCTGCCTTTCGCTTTGCAATTATAAAGAGGTGATGCATTCAGAATGAAGTGCTGTATCAAGAATTAGTTCTTGTCATCTTGTCATTCAAATATGATAACACAATACCAGTCCATAAAGAACTGTAGAAGGACCTAGGTCGGGGAATGATTGTGGGCATTTGTTAACATTTTCTTTTTAAATTATCAGTAGGGAAAGTTCCTTGACTAAGCAGCTCCAAGTTACTATTTTAATATGCTATGCTAGGGTCTCCCAGTGACCTCCAAGCACATGATGGTGCTGTGTTGACACCAAACGAGAAAGCACTGACTTAAGCCACAGGAGTGCCACATTCAGTGCTCTCAGATGGCCTATTGCCAACTGCCTTTCACAAAATTTGATCCCCGTCACAAAATGCCTACAGTAGAAACATTACGCACTGCAGAGTGAGATTATAACTAAGCAATAATTGCAGATAGTATTTTCTTTACAAGTCCCCAGACTTTAATCCTATTGAGTTAGAACAGCATCATGGAAAATGCCACAGGCCTAAAAAGTTAAAGAGGAAGAGCTGATTGTTCATAAAAATTATACAGAAGTAAGGATCTTCCTTTATCCAGCCCTTTTAAACTGTATATTATTCCTGTATTAAATGTTGCTTTACGGAGGGAAAGAAAAGCAGGAAGATGTTTATATACAAAGATTCATGGTAATTGGGGCTGAACTAAGACATAAGGACACATTGGGCATATGAATAATTTAGTATTATGGAAAAGCTACTGATGTATCTATGCTTTAAAATTATATTAACTATTTGGTTAACATTTATTTAAACAACTGAATGTTTGGGGAAGTTTTGCTGAAAGTGGTATGGCAAAACTCACTCTATTAGGTTAAATTCAGTTCTGGCCTGAAAATCATCTGCCCATTAGCCAGACCCTTCCACCCTCAGGTCTTCTCTGGCATAAATTTTGGGGATCTCATTTCCTTTTCAAAGGATCTGTCAGTATTTCATCCTTAAATGCATAAAATTTTCTCCATAGGATTTCTGGTAAATATAATTTTGCATTTGTATTTAGTATTTTTCCAATAATATTTTAGTATTGAAGTGATATACTTAGGTCCTCACCTAGTGGGACCTGGAAAGTAGCTTGATGCTTCTACCATCACTTTCACAACTACCACCCAAATCACCACAATTACCACAATACCATGAGGGCAACACAGTCACTGACATCCCCATCACCATCAGAAACACTGCCATGCTAGCACCATATGAATTGTTAATTTAAGTTCAGCCTAAAGCTGCCTCTTTACATTTTTTTTTTTAGTCTTGCTCTTTTGCCCAGGCTGGATTGCAGTGGTGCAATGTCAGCTCACTGCAACCTCCACCTCCTGGGTTCAAGCAATTCTCCTTTCTTAGCCTCCTGAATAGCTGGGATTACAGGTGCATACCACCACGCTGGCTAATTTTTTGTGTATTTTTAGTAGAGACAGAGTCTTACCATGTTGGTCAAGCTGGTGTCGAACTCTTGACCTTGTGATCCACCTGCCTTGGCCTCCCAAAGTGCTGGGACTACATGCATGAGCCACTGTGCCTGGCCCTCTTTACGTATTTTAAGTTTAGGTTAAAGGTTTCTCTTGACACAGTGAACTGTAAGCTAACTGTATGTACAAACAGATTGCAGTGTAGTTTTCTGGCAGCCACCAAGTTTCAGTCAATCAAGGGTGGCCAACTGTTTAAACTATGTTCACATAGACAAACGCTGAGAAATAGCCAATCCAGCTGTTTTTGTGCCTTGCTTCCCTTTTTCTGTTCATAAACATTCTTCCACCAGACAGCTGTGCTAGAGTGTCTTTGAATCTATTCTGGTTCAGGGGCTGCCAGATTCATGAATCATTTTTGCTCAATTAAACTGTTAAATTTAATTTGTCTAAGGTGCTTTTTTTTTTTTGAACAGTATCTATAAAACAAGTTACAAACAAAATTGTTTAGGTAAGTGCTTCTCGAATTTCAATGAGCAATGATTATCAGAGTATCTTATTAAGACACAAATTCTGATTTAATAGATTCAGATCAAGAGTCTGCATTTATAACATGCTTCCAGAGAATGCCAGTGCTGTTATACAGACCAATCTTTGAAGGGCAAGGCTTGTGCTTGATTCAATACAAAGATAATCACAAAGACTGTGATTATCTATAAGTAACCAACAACTGTATTAGAAATCTCTCTTAAACATACCTAGTGTGTATCAATGTTAACTTACACACAAGATCAATTAGAGGTAACAAATCCTATAAAAACTTTACTGTAATACTCCTTTAAATAGCAAATGAATTAATGTTTAAAATATGAGTCTCTTAAAAATATGTTAACCTAAAATCATTCATGGACACAGCCTTTTACTTAAGGTGGTATACTTAAATAAAACAAGAACACGTACCAATAAAGACAACCATGTATAAGGGGTATAGACATACGAATAACATAAAAATATTAAATTAATGTAGGAATCTATCATCAGACAAATATATTTCACAAATAAATATAAATTATGCACATTACATTTGGAGAGGTCTCAGGAAGATTAGCTTGAGGTTTTACCGGTTCATTTAAGTTCTAGCGTCTTTGAATTTTGAGTCCCTAAACAGTGTTTCATAACTTCTCTTTGAGACAAGTAATTTTACATAGAAGTAAGTCTAGGAGAGAGCTTGACATAGATTTGAGATTTTGGCTGCTGTATGTCTGCGATGCATCATTCTATGTTTTTTGTTTTTTTTTTTGAGACAGAGTCTTGCTCTGTTGCCCAGGCTGAAGTGCAATGCTCTTATACTCTAATTTTTCCCTCCTGCCCTGTCAGACATACAAAACTCAACAATATTCCTCAATGAATATGTGAGTTAGAACTAAAAGCTTCTAGCTATTTCATTGATCTAATTGTGATATAGACGAGGATGAGCAAATGTTTGTAATTCTTATAGTAGGACATCTTATTCTTATTAGACCCGTAAGGTTCCTATTCATTTTCATCCCTACCATGGTGATCTATAATTTCCTTTTACCTAATTATTTCAATTTCTACACCTACTGGCAAAGTTCATTTATGCAATTATGAAGATATATTCTCTCCATCCTGTTTCTAGTTCTTATTTGTGAATGGACATCTCTCAGATGTAGTGACTAAGTCTTTAGACCTCTGTGTTTCACATATTGTTCACTATTTGCAGCATGAACCTGAATTACAATTTCTGAATGGTCGGTAGCCTTCACTTCCTAGCTGCAGGCAGAACAAATGTGCTTGTTCCCCAAAGAGGTAATCAGAAGTTATCCTCCTCCTGGGACAAAAGAAAATCAAGCAAGATTATTTAGTTCTGTTTTAAGTGCCAGTGAGCTGGTTCAGACAAGAGAAGCATGCTGCGAGGTTCCCATCTAACTCTTCCAACAGATGTGTTCAATCCCAGTACATTTCAGTACATTTAGATGTAAAAATAGAGACTAATTTTTTTTACATAAACAGTACTTTGTATGCCATGAATAATCATTTGCATACAATTGTACATTTCAAGTGTATTGTGTGTTTTTAATAAAGAAAGAACACAAAGATCGCATGATTCAAATGGAAATTATTTTTCATCTAATCGTATCTAATGTGTTGCTGGCAATCTTATAGCAAATGAATACGTGTCAAATCTAAGCAAGGTTGCAAGAATTTCCTTGGCATCTTTGTAAATATGATAAGTGCCTCAATTATTAAATGAGAGGATGCTCTGGCATTAGTGATTATAGCTGTGCATCAGGTGGAAGATTAATAAACAGTGAGTTTATCATTATTGGGTAATAATAATAAGGTGGGCCTGTTTGTTTCATTTTCATATACATAATGATCTTATTATGAAGATTGTGTCTCTCATATCTACGTTTTATGAAAAAATCCTGTTCTTTATATCAGGTGTTATTTGCATTAAATTGCTATGTCGTATATGCAAGTAGTATTTGTAGTCAGTTTCTGTAGCTTGAATAAAAAGATAATTTCTAGCCCCTTGAATACTTTTTAGATGACATAATTTTTAAATAATGTTTTGATCTTTTTTGTTAATTATAAAAAACACTGAGTTCCAGGGGCTCCTTAAGTAACAAGAGGAAAAGAAAGATTTGCACACTCAGAATACATGCTAAAACAAGCCAAGCCAACAATCAGACCGTTATTTCATTTCTACTCCACACTGTGCACTTAGCCCATGCTACTACAACAAGATGCTTCATAGTGTTTCTATGGCAAGGAATGTGTCAAGATTTGGGAATGAAAAAGTCACAATTCCAAATAAATAAAAATCACAGTTTTAATTTATTTACTGATTTATGGTTTTGTTTATTGTTGCAGTAAGGTTCAAGCATGAAACCTTTCCACTGATTTGCTGTCATGTTCTTCCCAACTCTGCTTAAGCCTGATTTAAGATGTCTACATACAGTGTTTGCTTATCTCTCTATGGTAAGATCGTGGTTATCTTTCAGTTGTTATTGAAAAGCATTATACAATTTTAATATTTACTTGACTGTCTCTATCCATACCCACATTGTATATCTATGTTTATCTACATATATGTCTATATAGTCAATGCATTGTTTACTTCTTATCTTTTTTTCATGATCACGAATTGCCTCTAAGAAATATAAATAAAACACTACTGTTGGTGAATGTATTTTCAGATAAAATTTGGTACTCACAGTATCTCTGACAAAAAAAAAATCTTTGCACTGTTCCCTATTTACTCATCTTCAATATACTCCATTTGTTTTTATGAACAAATACGTGGCTTCTCTTGATTTAAAATTTGCCTGCTTTTTTGATTTTGTAATAGCCTATCCACATCTCAACCACTGTTTGCCCCTTTACAGAAAAAAAAAATTGTTATTATTAGCATTTACAAACAGCTGTCACAATATTACATATTTATTTGTGAACTTGCTTTTCGTCCTTCTCACAACATGAGTTCTACAAGTCCAGAGACTTTGCCCAGCATGTTCACTACTTTTGAACCAGGGCATATATATCTATGGAATGATTTATTAACAGAATAAATACCTACATGCATCCATTCAACAAATATTTTTGAGCAATTGCTACCTAGCAGCTTTGTCTTAGACCCTACAGATAAAAAGGTAAGGGGAGAAAAGTCATGTTAGTCCCCTTCAACTCTAATGGGGGAAACAGATGACTGCACAGGCAGTTTGAAATGCAGTGTCATAAGTGGTTTAACGGAGGAAGAACAAAGTAAAAAAATTTATAGGAGGGACTCTTTACCTATTAAGGGTGGATTGATATTGATGCTCTGGTGGAAGATAGACTTTAAAGAGACCTGAAAAATAAGGAGGAAAGAGAGTGATGGAAATGGGATTTTCCAGACAGAGGAAACAAACTTTAAAGACATATGAAGATGGGAGTTGCATGATGATAATATAAGCAAGTGCCCAGTGTATAAGGGAAGTGGAAATTTGTCCAGACTGACAGGACCATTGTGATGTCTGCAGCAGTTAAAAGCTCTTGAAGGGGCATTCAATGCTCTTCTTGGAGTTCAAGCCTTTTCATATGTCGTAAAAGGCCTCCAGGATGCTTTATGCAGATGTTTTCCAGATCATGGGAACAGGATGATTTTAGACAACTTGAAAGGCCATTAAATGTACAACAAACAGAAATAAACATTGTTTCAGAGTGAATTTAGCCTACCTCTTGAAATTTCCTACATTAGAAGGTCACAGAATCAAATTTGATGCCTGGACAATTTAAAGATCTGAGTAGTTTATTTCATTACTCATTAATAATGTTTGCATTTCTGTCTTAAGAGTAATCATTTATCATATTTCAGTGAAATAAACCAATTGCCACTAAAATGAAGAGTTCCCTGCCCTCGGCTCATGATGCAATTGATATTAAAGGTTAGAAAATAATTGAAGAAATGATGTTGGCAATAGAAAACCTAACAATCTGTGGCTTCTACTCTCAACTAAAACAAGTTCTGGTGAAGATGTTTCTGGGTTTTGTTGTTGTTGTTAATTTTGTTTTTCTTAGCAACAAGAAAATGTACCTTTTTCTGGTGCACAATAAGTAATTCTCTTAAGATGTATTTGCTTATCTGAGTACTGTATCTGCCTTTCCTCCTGCTCAGATCTCACTCATCTTTTCAGATAACATTGACGTTGACTAAGGACCCATTAGATACCAGACAAAGAATGAAGCAGTGAAAGGGTAGCCAGTTAGTAAGACACAATTCCAAACAGAAAGATGTTTCAAAATTATATTATACTATGTTCCTTTTACAAAGATTTACAATGCACGTTATTTTAATAATAATTCTGAGTTTATAGTAATGTACTGTTTTTAACTGTGTTTAACCACCATACTTTATTAAATTGCAGAATTATTTCTCATGTGACACCTGTTTAATTTCTATGGAATGCTAGAATTTGGAAACCAAATTAAGAAAAAACCTATTTTGATGGGATAGTATACCAGCCTTCATTATTTTTTAGAGAATTTATCAGTGTCTTGAGGATAGAGACAGAGGACCTCTATCTGTATATTGTTGTTTCTCATTTGAAATGAAGAGAAACGTTCTTTACGTTATTCTTGATGGTATTTTCAATTGCATACGGCTTGTGCGTGACAGATTGAAGAAATAAAAAGAAGTTTATTTAAATACATTTAAATGAGGGTAGTGTGACAAATTACTGTTTTCTATTTTCATAGCAATGACATTAGTATAATTTCTTGAACTCATGTAGCCATTTACTTCTTAATATTTGTGAAACAACCTTTTTTTGCCATTCATAGACAAAATATTCTTAGTAAGATGCCATTCATAGACAAAATATTCTTAGTAAGATGCAGAATGATGATTCCCCTTAATGTAGCATCTTTTACTCCCTAACAAGCTAGTTATTCCAACCTTGGTAATCACCTTGGCTCTTGAACCATAACTTAGCAAGGCCACTTAGGTTTCAGTACTTTTATTTTTGCTTCTCTGTCATTAAAATGTAGGTCCTGTTTTTTTTTTTTTATTAAAAAAAACCTAATTTAAAACATGCAAAAGACTTGCAAAGACGTTTTTCTAAAGATGTACAAATGACCAATAAGCATATAAAAGGATCCTCAACATCATTAATCATTAGGGAAATGCAAATCAAAATCACAATGAGATACTACTTTACACCAATTAGGGTGGCTATTAGCAAACAAAAACAGAAAATCACATGTTGGTGGAGAAATTGCAACCAGTACTCATTACTGATAGAAATGTAAGATGATGCATCCGCTATGGAAAACAGTATTGTACTTCCTTAAAAAGTAAATACAAAATTAGCATATAATCCAGCATATCCACTTCTAAGCATATGTCAAAAATTTGAAAGTAAGAACATTCAAAATGTTACTTGAATACTCACATTTGTAGCACCATTATTCACACTAACCAAAAGGCAGGAGCAACATAAGTATCCATAGATGGTTGAATAGATAAATAAAATGTGTTATAATACATGTCATAAAATGATATTCAGTCTTACAGAAAAGGAAGTTCTGACACATGCTATTATATGGATGAAACATGAAGGCATTATGCTAAGTGAAAAGGATTAAAAATTAACTTAAAAATGATTAAAATAGTAATTTTTATTTCACATTTTTTCTGCAATAAAGAATGAATGAAGTAATGACCGAATTAATTAATTAATAATTTAGGCTTTGTGTTGCCCATTTCGCTTTTAAGGGACATGGAAATTATCTATAAAAGAAGAGGAAAAAAGAAACTGCAATGCTATTGTTGTCAGGCAGCAGGAAATAAAATAGCACGAAATATGCCCTCAGAAATTTTATTAAATGATAATGGATTATCTAAAACTAATGATAACTGGCTGGTCATGGTGGCTCACACCTGTGGTCCCAGCACTTTGGAAGACCAAGGTGGACAGATCACTTGACGTCAGGAGTTCAAGACCAGCCTGAGCCTGGCCAACATGGTGAAACCCCATCATTACTAAAAATAAAAAAATCAGACAGGCATGGTGGCAGACACCTGTAGCTCCAGCTACTGGGGAGACTGAGGCAGGAGAATCACTTGCATCCAGGAAGTGGAGGTTGCAGTGAGCCAAGATCGTGCCACTGCACTCCAGCCCTGGAAACTTGGTGAGATACTGTCTCAAAAATAAAATAAAATAAAAATCATTAAAATAATTACAACAACAAATAAAAAAGACAGTGTGGCTTAATTATATTTATATATTCTTCCTAAGAGAGCTCTGAACCTGAAATGTGCTTTCTCTTTTGGGGAATTTCCAATACCCAGCTGAGATATTTTGTGAGTGGTCATCAAAACATTAAGAGTCATCTTGATCATTTGATGATCCAGATTTTTTAGTGCAATTTGATGCTTGTTCATGCACCATTCCTCTCACTCCAGTGACAACTGGCTCACTTATACAAAAACTGATTTTGTCTAGCTTTCTCCTTTTATAAATATTGATTATATGCATTAATAAAACAGAAAACTGTAGCCGAGAAACTTTAGTAAATAAGTACCTTAAAGTTGTCTGGCCAGAAATGGCAAAACCTGAGATCACATTCTGGTTTTCCTGATTAATAATGTCATTTTTTGACCATATCAGTTGACTCGGGCCTTAAGTAAGCCATTGTTTTTGGCTATAAAGCTGTCCTGCTTGTCCTACAGTATCTGTGACTCAAAGTACAAATTGAAGCAGTTTAAATAAATTAACTGATGTTACTTTAGGGAGGTAGCATGTGTCTCAACTACTTGCTTTTAAATATTTTAAAAGAAGTCTTTGAAATCTTTCATATTGTGAGACAAAGAATACTGCCAACACCTTGTCTCTTTGTTCCTATAAAGAGATTTTCACAATGTGCCTATTCGTCTAGCTAAAATGAATCATTCAGTTCAGAGTAACTATACATATGAAGAAACTAAAAGACATTTAGTAGTGCTTTATTAAATCTACTGAAAACATTGTCATTTTTAATGACAAAGTTGAGAAGACAGTATTTAAAGTACAGTACCATTCTTTTACATGCTCGGGATTTCAAGAGAGTTGTAAAAGTCGTTGATAATGTATCTCAGGGGTGAATTACTAGTATCTCATGCCAGTTCAGCAGAGTAACACTTTGGAAATGTCCCATTCAGTTGGGTTTCTCTCTCTTCTGCGTTTTTAATAGCTTGCTTTGTCTGAGTCCCTTCTTTTTCCATAGGTTTCACCTAGTAGTCTGTGGGCTTGTCTGGGATTCATCAGAAGAACTCATCATTCTTCACTTTTCTTTCCGAGGCTTCTTGTCCTTAGATGTTTCTCTGAAGGCAGACAAAGAAGCGAACCTCTGATTAGCTAGTTAAGAGCAAACGGAGCAGATACAGAGAGCAGGGTGCTGGGGGGGGACCCTGCCACCCCCCGTCCCCTGTGACTCTTGTGTGTAGGGAATCTTGGCTTTGT